TCATTAGCCCTTTAGTTGACTTCAGACTTCACAGAGGGGATGGAACATCAAATTGAAAAAGTCGATAGGAGGGGAACAGAAGAGTGTTTCAAAGACGTTGAAAATTTAGAAAAAATGTGATAAAGAACTGTGGAAGTGGTCGAATATGACATACAGTGGGGTCAGAGGTCAACTACCGGTTAATAGACTTTTTATCGTATGAGAATACGTTGACCAGGGTGCACCACGTGGAGGTAAGTCTATGGAACACCGCACAATCGAAATATCAAGCAGGTTTTCTGGCTTTCATTGGAACTTTCTTAGCCAGGATTTCTTCTGCTATTTCAAAGCTTGACTAAATTAGGCTTCTGAATCTGCCACAAAATTTACAGTCTTCCTAAAACCTGATGGGAAACAAGTGTCAATTCCAACGTAGAAGACCTCGATGGAGGCATTGGTATGCAGAAGGGTATGCGTTCGAAGGATCAGAATATTGCTGGAGCGATAATGCAAATATGACTTCTCATCAAAATAACTTGGTTTAATATTACTCAAAAATTTAATGAAAATTTTTTGGGGAATCTTTTCGGCTGCGAATAGGTCCAAGTTTATGCGTACTGTTGAAGCCAAATGTCTAAATCAACAGGAGGTTGTAGAAATTGTATGTAAGGAAAATGGTTTGCATTCGACTGGGAAAGTAATTTAAAATTTGAAAATGCAGGGTAGTTGACGAAAAACACGTAACGAAAAACAGGTAAGTTCTTGACATGCAGAGAAAATCTAAAGATTCTACCTTCATCGCTTTGTCTGATGGACGATCAATAAAAAGTAACACCTTCACAATTGAAAGAGCCCAGGGTTGTGTGTCAGTGTGAAGGTTCGGTACATTCCACAATTAATTTTTATTCCCCTATCTAACCCAATAATATTTAGCCTCCTCTTTAGTAAAGTCAAACCAATTCTAATTGGTTGTTGGAAATCGTTTATATCTGTTAAAAGTGTTAATTCATATTTGATCAAAAGACATTTTTTAATAACTATCTTAACACTCCATTAATCCTTATAAGCATTCAACATATGGAATGCACTTTATATTTTTGTCCTTTAATACCAATAGGGTAAAATACTGGAATGAGACAATTGTTCCACACATGAAAATGATTTCCAATTGAAAATATTCGCTTTTGTAACAGAGCTAAAACTTTTTACCTTAATAGCATAGTGTTTTATGCTAAAAATCCTCCCAAAATCGAGGTTGGTTTATTACAATGCAGTAAATCGATTTTTAAGAAAAAGCATTCATCACTTTTGGTGCTGTTTTTTAACTATATATATATATATATATATATATATATATTACAATGACACTAGAGCGGAAAAGGTTATCCAATCGATGTTTGAACTCAAACTCTTACACATGTAAATGGTGTAATAAGACTTATTTTGAGAAAGATATAGTTGTCACGTTAACTGGGGGACTTATAGTATCATGATGCTAACCTCAAAAACTGATTCGATTAACTCCCCACAATTTAATTTCTCTAAATTACTAACCTAGTTTTATCGAAGTTAAAAGGGCTTGAATGTCTTATTGGAGTGATAAAGCCACTTTTGGTCATGAAAATATTGATAAATAGGCCACAAGTAATAGGACTAGTCATACATTCCATCTCCGTTCTACTTAAGAGAAAATAATCGATAAGAAAAATTGCTCCTAATGGGATGATGAAGTAAAATCAATTGGGGAGATTGACATAAGCTCTGAGATTTGCTTCTGGCATTACTTTGTTATAAGGTGAAAGATCTTTCATTGGGATTATAATAAAATATTTTTTCTGCTTATTCAAAATGATGGATTTATATGATCCTATTGGATACCAATTGCCAATCAAAACGTAGGCTCCACCAATCCCATTGGTTGAATTAGCTTAATGAGATTCATATTAAGCTAGGAGATCTATCACTAATACAAACATTAAGAGACATTTTTGCAAGTTGTCGCCAAGGCCGTGTTGCTCTGTGATATAGATAACTTTCTAAAATAATAATCTTGGAAATATTTGATTTTACTCAATTAGTTCATTAAATTTCCATTGCTCTCTAGAACTATTTAATAAAATAGGTTTCTTCTATACTTGATTTTACCATCTTAAAGCTAGAATAACCTAATAATTTATGGCAAATAATATTTTATATTATTGGTATCTTAGCAATATTACAATATGTTACAATTCTTAACATGTTTTGCAGAATATTTTCTCTTTTCACAATAAACTGTGTAAATTACAGAAATTATATCCCTTGATATCAGTGGGTTGAATAATTTTGAAGTTCGTTCAGCATCAATTTTTTTGCAATCCCTAGAATGGCTGCACACGAGCTGACATTTCCTGGCCATTTGGCCCTTCCCGATATTCAGGCGTATAGACAGTTTTCCAAACACTCTCGTCTCCCCTTGAATTCTCCCTCTTACTTCCGAAATGTTTCTAAAGTGAAATTGGATGGTATTGACGGGCGCTTAAATCCGGAATCCTTCTTCTTCAAATCAAGATCTGCTGGCAAACGCAAACTTACTGCCTCCTCTCTAGCCGACGGTGTATTCGAGTTCCCAACTTTAGATATTTCCCCTAATGAAGTAAGAGATATTTTGACGATAATTAATAAAGTAAGCCTTTTAAGAACAGTGAAGAGCATTGCAATGAAGAACTATGTGTAAATGGAAGAGAGATCAAAAACTCTGACTCCATCCAGCTGGCCATTGAATCGTACATGCGAAAAAATGGAGTGAAAACTCAATTCGTGGTGGACAAAAAACACTCGAATGAAGGATCATTCGGCTCCCTTATGCCCGAACCATCAATTCGTACCTGGCGAATGACACATGAGATAGTTGATAGCCTACTTGAAGGCAAACTAACCTGGAGTCAAATTAAATCAAATTACCTTGGTCAGGAACCAAATCAGAAGGAAATCGAACTATTTTGTCAGCTTTCACCTGTACAGAAACGAGTAAGCAGTAGTTGAACAAATATATTTCCTTGATTAAGACTCTTCATTTTAGTGCTTCGAAATTGGGATTCCTTGTTTCTTCAAAATGGTCCAGCACTAAAAAAGAAATTATTGATAGATGGGGCGTTAGAAGAAACATGGATGGCCCATTTTGGCCACTTGGATTGGGACCCCTGGGACCTTCCCCGAATTTGCGAGATGGAAGCAAATTTTTGGAAAAAAATAAGAGCAGACAGGCTGGGGATAAAGTTCCTTCAAAGCTGGAACACTTATTTGCTAAAAGATCATCCGCAGATGGAGAAGTTAATGTGGCCCTGAAGAGACCAATTGTGGTTTTTGATTCCGAGTTGAGCCCATCAATGGAGGTTAGGATGAGACATGCAGCACTTTTAAAAGACGATAGTGAATTGATATTTGAATCGAGATTTGAGTCTGGAAATTTGAGGCAAGCTAGAAGAATGTAAGCTTTCATTGTGCCCTTATTACTACTTGTATCTATATCAGCGGCACATTTGAGTACGAATTGATTTTGACACCAGATCTAGTAACTGAATCCCACGTGCAATGGTTCTTCTTTCAAGTTGCCGGGGCTCGATCAGGAGTTGAATATACCCTTAGAATTGTCAACTTACTCAAGGCAAAGAGACTGATTAAAATTGGTACTTTCAGATTTAAATGTGACCGATTTAGGCGAAAAAATACTATTTTATTCGAAGAAATTGGCGGATAAAACGGATAATGGGTGGACTAGAGTCGGAATTGATACGACGTAAGAGATCACCGTTTTGTTTATAAAATAGGACGGAACAATAAATTAATCAAATATTGATAACCTTGATAACGATTTTTTAATTATCTGTTAATCTACTTAAACAGATATGGAAAGAATTGTCATTCAGATAAAAATCCCTTACTGAAGAAAGATGTCACTTATTACGAGTTGAAATGGAAGATGGTGAGTAATACCTTGCAAACTTTTGACCCATGTGCTTAAGGTGTTTCCTTTTGATAATGACATGTGTGTGTTGGCACACTGCTATCCTTATACTTACACGGATTTGAAAGCAGATATCCGAGAAGTAATCAAAGCATCCAAAATGTTGCCATCAGGAACCATCAAGTGCGAGAAACTGTGTTCATCGCTGGCTGGAAACACGTGTTTCCTACTAACCATTACCGACCCTGGTGAGCAATTTCGGAAAGAATTTCCACTTTTTCACTGAATCATAAATTTTACTACGACCATTTAAATAAAGTGGAAAGTATTGATCATGGATTTTTAGTTATAATTAAGGAAGGAGGTAATAGCTCAACTCTTCTTCCTTTGACAGATATTCCAGATAATCAGAAGTATGCAGCAGTCATAACAGCCAGAGTTCATCCTGGTGAGACAGTGGGTTCATGGAATATGAAGGGTCTGATGGAATTCCTGGTGAATCCAGAGGGCGAAAAGGCGCGGGAGCTACGTCGCAGATATGTGTTCAAGTTGGTTCCCATGCTAAATGCAGACGGCGTTATTGTTGGAAATTACAGGTTTGCGGCACAGCTCTTTTTTAGCTAACTTCGCATTGTAGATGTTCGCTGGTTGGTCGAGATGTTAATAGAACCTATAATATATTCGGACCAGATCAAATTCCCGAGGTTCACTTTACTCGAAAACTTGTGCAGTACTGCCAAGAAATTTGCAAAGTAGGTAGATTCATTGTTGAAAGAGCTAATTGTTGTTATATCTTTATTAATCAACACTGTGTTGACAGCAGAATTCTAAAAATTTTCTTTTACTACAAGGATGATTAGGAAAGTTGTTTCTTTTGTACTCGAATAATAGCTAAAGGTAAATTGCTTCTGAATAAGAATGCGAAGAGGAGAACGTAGAGGAGGCCTTGAGAAACCCAGTTTTTGCATAAAAAAGTATAGAATTCGGGGTGTTGTTAAGGTGATTGTTTGCAAGGTAACGTTGAATGGTAATTGATAATCAATAGGTTGTAAGTGGCTTGGCCACGGTGGGGCGGGGGTGGGTTGAAATGTATTGATTTCACAAAGTTTAAGCAGTTATTCGAATATACTTAAATAGTTAAGTTAGCAAGTCATTTGATGCTACTTAGAGTGGTATTTAGTGGGAAATGCCCTAGCACAAATTTACCCCGCAACAAATTTCCTTCACTAAAACTTAATAACTTGTTCTGGACAATCAGAAATTCGGCCATCTCTTTCTGGACGCGCTGATTGTAGTTCAAACCTGGCATAACATTCCTCAGTTTAATTTTTTTTCAATTTAAATCTCAATGAGCAGTTAACACTTTCAATTGTCCTTAAACACGAATCAACTGCATTTCATGTTCGAACTTTAACCCCATTATTGCAAGTCAAATGTACCCGAAATTGGGTCTACTTGTAGGAAAATTCATTTTTTTACAAATTTCGTGTCATAAATAAATCTAAGTAACATGGAAATAATTGTAAAACGCAATTTAAGCAGGCCATGAAAATATGAAGATGGAATAAATGTGAAATAGGTCTTTAAAGTTGGCAATTTTCAGTTTCTTTTGCTTTCAAAAAAGATTCCTGCTCTATTGGCAAAAAGGGTCCTTTGCAGTTGAAAACTGCTACCGGCCATGATTTTCACTGCCAACTGACTTTTAATGTGAAATTAAAAAGAGAGGCTTCCAAATGCCACTGTTTTCATGAGTGATGCCTACACTTTAGAGCCGTAAGCTTCTACTTCAAATAAACGCGGTAACTTAGGAGCAGCCCTTTCCTATACATTTTTGTGCTCATTATAAATTATTACTCATGGAGTTAGCAAAAAAGGCAGTATTAAAAATGGCAAAAAAATAATTCCCTCTGATAAACAACAAAATAATGTCAAATTACAATATGTGTATAACAAGTTAATAAATGTGAAGTTAAAATTTTTCAAAGCATATGGAATTACATTTAGAACTTCTGACGGGAAACTCGATGAGGACATGATAAACGTTGGATTCAAATATCGGGAAAAGGAAACCACATGCAACTGACCCCCTAGTGATTAAACAGTATATAAGACGCGTGTTTTAACTTCTCCAATGATTGAAAAAACAAAAATCCTTGTTGCTAGGGCCCATGTGAATATTATATCCTGATTATCTGCAAAAATAATGTCTATATAGAACTAATGTATTTGCATCAAGAAATATTCTAGACTATCGTATGTATCCAGTTATAAAAGGTAAATGTATTTGAGTATTTGACGATTTCATAGACAATTTCCCTCATTTCAAATCAGCCTTCCTCTGTCCTATTTTAACCCCCTTAAAGGACGTTGTGTTTTGCGACTTTCATGGACACAGTCAGGCACACAATGCATTCATCTACGGAACTGATTCGGGTTATCGATCAATTCCTGTCGAAAACACAACAGTACAGCCAAAAACTTACCTCACTAACCCAGAACAGTACTTGATCGACCGTATGATCCCCTTCCTGATTAGTAAGCAGGTACGTTTAACCCCAAGTGAATATAGTTTCGTGTAAACATTCGCAGATTGTATAAAGGCTTTCTAATTAGGATCCTAGACGGTTTTCATTTCGAAGTTGCCGATTTTCCCTTCAACCTTGGCGTGAAGGATGTGCTCGAATTAGCCTATGGAGAAGATTTAATTTAACCCATTGCTTCACTATGGAAACATCTTTATTTGGAACTAATTTAGAACCCAGGTAAATGAAAGATTTTCATCTTGTTATCTTTTAAGCTCCACTTTCCGCTACTTTGATCGGAATGATCTGCAGAATCTCGGTCAAAGTGTCGGTTTGGCTCTACTAGACTTTCACAAAATCATGAATGATAAAACCAAATTTTCAGATACTTTAGTAGAAATGGGTAAATCCTTGTTCCATGAGATAATTCTCAGCAGGATTTTATCTAAGCGTCAATTGTCTATAGCTCAAAAGCAATTGGAAAACACAAGTACGTCTTATTTCCTATTCTACGAAGACATGCTTATTGAATTAATATAAGTAGGACGTTTTTAGGTCAATCGGTAAATAATGATAACTTGGAAAAACAAATATCGTCCGTGGCTGATTTTGTTAGTGCATTCAATGAAGTTGGGGGGTTGCTCGAAGAAGGCGATGAAGAGGAAAGTAGCAGTGCCTCAGATGTGAGTTCATTGGCAGATCTTGAGTTTGGTCATGAAGATGATAAGGACATTTTGAATCTGAGTGCAAAGTCGGATGTTAAACTAAAACGGAATCGACGTCGCAAGCGTCGAAAGCGTAGAAAATGTCGTAGACGAAGAAAGAATAGACGTCGACGTTTGGCAATCTTGAATAATACTTCTAATAATGCTATCAAGGTTTGTATTGCTACTATTTAATGAATGCCAACAAAGTAATCGAATAAATACTAGGTTAGATTTTGATTTTGTTAAAATCACTTTCTCATTTCAGTTTACTCCAATGAAATAGCCATAGTTCTTTGTTGATTTAATATTCTTCATCTCAGTGGTTAGTTCGATATACCATAAGCGAAGGTTGTGAGCTTTGTTCGAAATATTTTTCTGTCTCGAAAATGTGGGAGTTTGACAACTTGAAGTGTTTTCAATGTTTATGGATTAATCGCGATTTTATTACCAACTTCAACATTTCTAAACCCCTGTCTAGCATTTTTTAAGACTGCCCATTAGATTTTTCTTTACCTTCGATCACAATTATTTTATAAAGGAAAAGTAGCTAATTTTATTTTTTTTCTTACGGATATTTGGTGGAGGTGAGTACAGCTGTTCCCCTCAGTGTAAAATTTGATCACGGCTACACAAACCAAGAAAGAATAAGAACGAAGATTATTAGTATATACGAGGATTCATTGCACACGATTATTCATTTATTGATTTATTTAAGATTGGAATCGCCACCTTATTAGCCATCATTTGTATCATTGATAAGATCTAATATCCAGGCGTAATCACAGGAGGTCAATAATCGCTAACTTAGTACATTGAGGTGAAGTTTTTGAGCCAAGTTTATTTGGACGGAATGTCTTTGATTCACATTTCTAACATTAAGTGAAAAAATTCAAAATCTTAGAAATTTCTGGTCTGGAGGGTAAAATGCAATATTATTTATATCAAATTGCAGGCGTCTTGATGGTTATCATTAGCCCTTTAGTTGACTTCAGGCTTCACAGAGGGGAAGGAACATTAAATTGAAAAAAGTCGAAAGGGGGGTGGAACAGAAGAGTGTTTCAAAGATGTAAGAGGCAAACACAAAGGTAGAAAAAAAGGTGAGGTGAGTACTGTGGTAATAGTCGAATATGGCACAGAGTGAGGTGATGGTAGTTTGAAGTGAGAAGTCAACTGCCAGTTAAGAGACTTTTTTGCCGTATGAATATACGTTGCCCAGGGAGCACCACGTGAAGGTATGTCTATCGCTCACCCCAGGTGCAATATTGGAGTTAAATAGAACATAAATGATTAGGTTTATCCAGTGATTGTCGACGGAAAACTTGGTGGGAATTTTACTTGATCGAGTAAATTGTACTAATTGTTCGGATTAAACAAATTCATTTATCACTCTGTTATGGAAAGCGCAACCAACCTATCGTAAATAATTTAATCTTTTCATAATATCGAGGTGAAAATTTTAGTTACACCCATCCATATGATAGGAAGCACTTTAGTCCCGAATACAAAAATATTTGTTCAAGTGAATCTTCATAAACTCGTTTTCTTATTATTTAAATGAAAA